AATACTTGTATCGTTACATAAATCATAGGAGGAGAAATTGAGGTTTACATTATAATATGCATCGCCTATTTTATGCAATCTGTTGTGAATGCAAAAGGGGTGTGTTTTCATCTTATACACGATGATGACGAAACTCACCTTCTTTCAGAATCCCTGTAAACCCCAACCAAGGCTTCAGCCTTGTCATAGAAGCTATCTTTTAGCGATATCACTATGCTCTGGAAACCAGTGCTTCCATCCGCATCCTGGTTACGGCTGGGTCCTTCGCATGATTTGGAACGTATAAACCCAGCAACCTTGGCGACATTTAAGTTATCCAAAGCAGCATCAACTTCGTCCAGAATGAAAAACGGTGAAGGCCTATAACTGAAACCATCCATTCAAGGAAGTAATCCAAGTTATTTAAGAGGAACTAAATCATGCAGAGAGCAGCAAAACTAGAGTGTAGTCGGAGGATGGAATTAAAAACGTCGAAATAAGAAATAAATGTAACTGAACTATGTTTTGATCAAAGGCAAAGGAAGACTCTTAAGCGCAAGTGCAAAACATGCGTTCGTAAATTTTGAGGAAGACAAACCTATGGATGGAAAAGAGTAATGCAAGTGCTGCAACTGTTTTCTCCCCACCAGATAGTTGCTCCATATCACGGAAGCGCTTTGTTGGCGGCATAGCAGTATACTTGATGCCATGTAGAAATGGATCATCTTCATTTTCCAAGTTTAAATAAGCAGTTCCACCCAAAGGATGCGTGTTGCTCTTCGTAAGCTGCTTGTATATTTTGTCGATATTGTTCGATATGTGGTTGAAAGCATCCATGAACAACTCATACCTGTAAAAGCCAATGAGGTTTATGCTTCAAACAAGCAAGTAAGATGTCAAGATTGTTTATACAACCTCAAAGACCCCAATTCCAGTGGATAAAACTCTAATTCATTGATTATTGTGTAACTTTCATTGATGCAAAAAATAATAATAAAATAAATAAATAAATAAACAAACAAACAAACAAACAAACAAGCAAAAACAAAAAAAAAAAACAATAACAAAAACAAAAACAAAAAAATGCACCTTCAAACATAGCATAGTCTTCCATTAAAACGAAAAGATTTGCTACGACAGTGTCCAGTTAAATATTTGGTCAATTACAGAGATCTATTAGGAAAATGAATTGTAGTAGAAAGATGATTATATACCAAACCTTCAATCTTTACTGCTTTGAGGATGTAGTTCGGTGACCATTTTTCTTTTCTAATTTGTCCTCGGAAACTTTATATTCATATATATATATATATATTATAACAATATATATAAATTGTCTTCAGAAACTTGATAATAAAGTCTCATACCAACTTTTAACCAGTGGAAATTGAAAAGGTCAACCCTGGATGGAAATCTAATTCAGCTATGTTAGTTGGAACATTATAAAAAATGGGCCTTTAGCGGTATTAAATCATACTACCTCCTCTGCTTCACCGAGTTAAACAGATCTGCTTTTTCCTTCTCTTCTTTCCTGGCAGCTTCAAATTCTTCAGTTACAGCTCTTTCCTTTACTTTTAGCGCCTCATATTGGTCCAGGGCCTTCAAATTTGGAGCGGTTTTTTCAATTTCTGATATAAGGGAATCTATTTTTTGCTTAAATTCTATCTCAAGCTTTTCCCGTTCAGAAGGCCTCTTATCCTGCACGTATGCTCTACTCAACTGAGTAAAATCAAAAACTGGGCCAGGTGTTGACGTTTCAGTCTCCATTGGATCCGAGATGATGGGAAGGCTAATTTGATCTAGTTCACATTTCTCTACTATTTCCTGCTTCCGTGTAATTAGCTGCTCAATCTGTGTCTCCTGTAAAGACGAGCAAATAGATATTGGGCATTTAAGTTCATCAACAGCAAGGTAGAGAATAACTGATAAATAAATTCTAACCTTAGAATTTATCTGGCGATTAAGTTTTGAAATGCTTGTTGTGGCTGTAGAAGCCCGCTTTTTCCATTCCTGCATATCCTTCTCACACTCCTCAGACTTTGATTTCCATTCTATAAGAACATGGCAATAAAAAAAGGTACCTTAGCCACTACATGATATTTCACTTCTTTTCATTGGCAAGCGGAAGGATACAACCCCTACCCCTTCAGCAAGCATAGGTGCATATATCATATCTTTAAAGTATGTAAGAGCTCTATTTAAGTTACCAATAGATAGAAGTTACGGACCTATAGATTTTTACTCTCTCAACAATACAACAGTATCCATACCTTCTACTTCTTCATTCCATCGCTTGATCTCACTTATAGCTTTTTCCGCTGATAACTTGGCTTCAGATTCTCTCCTCTGGACATGGTCTAAATCATTTTCTAATGCACCTAGAGAAGATTCAAGCTCTCTGATTCGTGATTCCATGTCGCGATTTTGTTCATATTCCAACCTGGGGAAGGAGGGAAAAAAGAAAGCAAAGATCATAAGAAAAACAACTTAAAATTATGCAGAAAGTTTTTCTTCAAAAAGTATCAATCAAATCTTTCATTAAAAAAAAAAAA